GATGTAACCTGAAGAGGCTACTATTGGGCTTTAGAGTTCCAATGAGACAGCCCCTGAGTCGTAGCATTGTGACCGCACCGGTTGAGTTATCACACCAGATTCCATTGAAGGGATCACTGAGGTTGCACTGGCTGCTATCAAACTCGTTCATGAACTCAGTGAGAGCTTGTCTCTGATGGGGATGACAAGCAACAAAGCTACTATAATCGAAGTTTGAATTGTAGACGAAATTTAAGAAGCTAGAAGGGGAGAAACAACAGAGCAAGATAAGCAAGAGAAAATGCAAACGTGATTCAGACATGGTCATCATGAAAGGTATTGAAAGAAGAATTATTTAGGGCTTAAGAAAAATGAGAGAGAAGGTTAGTGGTATAAATAAAGATATGTAACCCACAAAACTTGACTTAAAAGAAAATAGAGCTAAGTGAAGTCTTTGTATTATTTATTGGAGACCTTAATGGCTAAGTTAGTTGATTTTTCTTACGTATTAACTTGGAAAGACACCAGTTTGAAATTTCTCACATATATTTTCAAACTTAGCCATTATGGCGTAGCTAACAGAAGGCCCTACATGTGTGTGTCACACACTAAATTTTGTGGTCTGTGTAATGTCGTGTGAACTAGCTAGCGGAGTACATCTTTGTGATTCTTCTGTCTCCTTTGGTGTTTTTCGAGATCCCTGGAGGTTTTGTGGCCTGAATTTGTAAGAGCCTTTTAAATACAAGAAGAATGAGAGTCTCTAAGATGAGGAAAGCTTTAGATTTGGAGTAAAACATAAAAATAATTGTATAGCTGCTCTGCTATATATGAATTCACAATTTTGTGTGTATATGATTCTATTTATGCCTTGGATTCGCGTAACAGTAAGTATCTGAAGGTGAACTAATTTCGTAAACATAGAGATATGTATCTTTATCTGTAGAAGTGAAGCCTAGTTGACTTTGTTTATCAATGGAGTGATGATTTTGTTTACACTTAGCTTTCATGTATCAAGGATAATGGCTTATTTTTTTTTGTTTTTTAGTGTTAAGGACTTTTCTGCTCTTCATTACTCCTCTGCTTCGTTTTCACATACAGAATCAGGTTTTCTCTTAGTAACTGAGACAGGCTTTACCCTCGAGAACTTGGAGGAAATGCAAACGCAGAAGTGATTCACACATGATCTTTATGAAAAATATTTTGAAGAAGAGAATTATTTTGGTTGAGGAAAAGTGAGAGAGAAGGTTGGTGGTATAAATAATGATATTTCACCAACCCAGGACTAGAGCACGTGGACTTGAAATATTTGAACGGGACCTCCACTTTATGGGGGGCCCATTTAAAAAAAAAAAATTTTTGAGTCATATATACATAGACTCCAAATGGAGACCAAAGGAATGAGTGGGAATAGTCAGTTCCTTACTATTCCTTACAATTTACACCATTTACAAGAAATATTAGTTACTTATGATTCTTTAACATTCCTTAAGATTTAAAAAATAAAAGACTACAATTATTCATTGTCAAATTAGAAGGGGAATAAATTTTCCTTTTATTTTTTTTCCTTTTCATTCATTTCTTTATTATTCCTTATATTACTTTGATGGTTACCAGTTAAAGCCATAGCCTAATATAATTATATATAAAAGGTAAATATAACTTAAAAATTAATAGAAAAAAATATTTTGTGTTATTAACTTATTATGATGAATAAATATAAAATAAAATTACAATAAGAAAATCCTATTTTCAATGTCATTGAATCTAATTATATTTATTTCTCTTTAAAAATAACAAATAATTCAAATTAGATTTTTGTTTAACAGAATTAGTAAAAAATACTGTTGATTTTTAAATAAATGAATAAGTATTTTTTTTGTTTGGGCCCCATTTATTTAGGACCGGCTCTGACACATCTTGACTTGGAAAAAGATAGGTCTACGTGAAGTCTTTGTACATTCTTTGAGTGTAGAACTTAGGGTCTAGTTCAAACGCAGCGATTGTAATTACGGTTGTGAGCAGTGGCGGAGGCAGCGTTGGGTGAGGGGGGTCACTTGACTCCAGTGAATTTTAATTACAATTTTTTTTGCATGTATTTCTGATTAAAAAGCTAGTGAAATGTTATAAAATTAGTTTAATGACCCCAGTGACATTGCTGAAAATTTACTTTAAACCAATGATTAATTTTTGTTGACCCCCATAAGTTTAGTGGCTGGCTCCGCCACTGGTTGTGAGAGTTTGTAGATATGGGTAATTATGGTCTTTTTGTGGTTCTAAGAGATTTGTACGACTGGTACTGCGATTACAAATTGGTGCATTTGCAAGATATTTATGATTGGTTAACTACCAAATGTAGTAGCGGTTACAATATAAATTAACAATATTTACATTTTATATAATTATAAAAAATACCAAAAATCATATTATTATGATAAATATAAAAACTATACTTATAAAGTTATAGTTTAAATTTTTAAAATTCTTGAATTTTTTTATTTTTTAAGAATATTAATTAAAATATAATAGATATATTTTAGTATTTTATAATTCCAATTTAAAATTTTTATTGAATATTTTTATTTTTGTATTTATATTGTTTAAAAAAAAAGAATCACCCTTCTGCAACCGCCCAAAATCGCAAACGCTAGATGGAGCTTTCGAATTTAAGTGGTATAGAGCGGTTTGAAACGGTTTAAAGCGGTTTAAAATAATTGTTGCAAAACACCAATAACCGCAATCAACAGCAAAAGCTGCGTTTGCAGTTGAGCGGGAATCCCTTAATGGCTAAAGTTAGCTGATTTTTCAAACGTAGAACTTGGAAAGACATCAGTTAGAAATTTCTCACATTTTTGTGACAAAAAAAAAGATTCTCACATTTTTTTCAAATTTAGTAAATTAGGGCCTGCTTAGTATACGTAATCAAATGCTGGAATGAACCACATTGGGTAAAAAAAAATCTAAAATGGACTTCTTCTTTTTCTTATTAATTTGTATTTTGTTTTTAAATAGAAAAAGTAGACAAATGACCATTATCCTTACAAAAGTTGATAAAATTAGCAATCCAGCCATTCAGAATTCGACCCAAATAACAACATCTGGATCTGGGTGGGATCTTTTTTCAAATCCCTAATTTTTTGTTCTTCCCTTTTTAAAAATCAATGATGATTCAATTTTTTTTCCAAATTTTTCATCCCAATTTTTTTTTTATCTCAATTTCTTATTCAGTATGCATCTTCTTCATCAACAACCACCATTTTCTTAATCAATTATACATTTTTCTTTCTCTTTTCTTCTCCATCAAGTTTATCCTCATCCTACACTGAAATTGCTTTTTTTTTCTTTTCGGATATGCTCTATCATTCTTGTTTTAAATCTATCAACCATAATCATCTTTGGTCAAATCGATCAACCCATCATCCTTTTCAATAAATTTCTTACCATTTAAACTGAATGTCCTCATTAGTGTATAATATTCACGGTAATGAAGAACAAAGAGTACTACTGGTACAACTAGTATAACTCAAATGAGTATAACTGGTAAAATTAGTATAATTCAAACGAGTATAACTGGTACAGCTAGTATAACTGAAACGAGTATAACTGATACCATTAGAATGCTTATAATTAGTATGACCGATACAACTATAACACATATAATTAATATAACTGATATAATTAAAACGTGTATAATCAATACAATTTTGCAACTTTATTCATACAACTTATAAGGATATACATTTTTGATTAATGATCATTTAAGATTATGTAATGTGATCAGTTGTCTTGTAATCTCTAAATGTAATCTTTTTGGACTAACTCATAATATTATACTTGGGACTTGTTATAGTTTTCAGAATTGTTGGATCTTTTCTAAATAGTTATTTGCTTTACTAGTTGTATTACTAATACTAATTGTACTATTTTTAAATCATCTTTAATCCAGAATTCGAAGAAGACAATAGTAAAGCAAAAAAAAAAATGTTGCAGTAGAAGATGATTTAGAAGAATATACTAAAAAATATATAATAAAATTTATCAATAAATAAATATAATTTTAACTTATATAGTATCTAATTTTATAATAATATTTATGTCGCTTATAATATTATTAATACAAAATTTGTATTGTTGTAACAATTTTTCAAAAACATTATTATGTAACATTACTAAGTTATATTTTTTATTTTTAAATTTGAAATATATATAAATTAAGTTGGATCTACATAATACATAAAAAAAAATTTGGGAGTATTAAAAGTATTTTACATAATTTTAATTTTTTGTTAAAAATCAAAAATGAATTAAAATTGTAATTACACTTTATGATAATTTAAATTATAATCACATAATTTTAGAAAAATTTATCTTGAAAAGATTCTTAAAGATTTTTTAAAGAAAATTTAAAAATATTTTCTTAGAATTTTCTTAAAAATATTTAATTATATTTCAAATAAAAATTAAAGATATTAAAAAATATTATAATGATGTCATATAAGATTTTATAAGTTTTCTAAAGATGATGCAAACTAAAAATATCACACGTGAAATGAATCATCACTTCCGTTTTAATATAATAGATATTCCAAAAGGATTTAGTTATGTAAATACTTTAAAAATAATGTACCAATAGAAGGATTACAGATTTAATAGTCCAAGTTTCTAGTGAGATTTTCCCGTAACTATGATTTTCTTCTCTCATAATTCTTTTCTGTAAGAAACTATGCTGTTAGATATTATCACAGTATACATGGTAGCAGATAACTATTGGGAAAAAAGGAAGACAAGCCATTATTAACCCCAACAACAGTTTATTCTCAAAATAAAGGAACTGAAATGAAGTCACAAAATTCAAAAATCTGCTAATTATAAAATAAACAAAGCCCCAAACATATCTACACAGTCTCTTTCTGGTTATAGACCTTTGGGTTGGCTTATAAAATATTTAATGAAACTTTTATCTTCAAAAGTCCTTTTTTCTGTTCCACGATACAGTTTTTGTATCTTACTCTCCCACTGGGTTGTTAACCTGTTAAGGGAAAAGAGTACCCACGAAGATACTTAGAGTCCACTCCTGATTCACGGGCCAATGCCACACGCCCTGTTCTTGCAACCTGTAAATTGATTGATTGCTCATTAGTAAACATCAATCAGAAAATGATTATTGTTCTAAGCACACAACAACAAGACGTGAATCTATACATCAGAAAATGAGTCAAGCTTTGGTTTTTTTATTTTATTCAGAGACCATTTGTAAGATAACCATCAATGAATTTATTAAGACTTTGCAAGTTGTAACATGGAGCAAGAAATGAAAACTAACCTCACATATACCGTAGGGCTCCAACAACCTTTGCAGTGCAACCATCTTGTCAAGATCCCCAGTAAGCTAATTCCACAGGAACCAAATTTAGCAACAAATAAAATAAAATAAACTCAGGGAGAACAGGATTTAGATGGAAAAGCTGCTTCATAAATTTTGTCAAACGGAACTCAGATTATATCAAACAAGTTATAGACTTTCAAGATCTCTAATAGAAAAGATATCTCTACTACTATGCTACTAAACCTCTAATAAGAACATAGTTTATGGAAAATGCAATATACCTGCAAAGTAATTGTATGATCAGATACGTCAACAGCTTTTGCTCTGAAAATACTAGCAATGTCCAGGACATCTCTTCTCGCAGCAGCGTTCACAGCAATCTTAATCAGCATCAGTTCTCTTTCAGCAAATGGCAAATGAGTAAGATCATGAACCTGTAGAAATCCCCGCAAAATTAATAACTGCTTGGAAAGCTATGGTGCAGTTTACAGTAATTACAAAGGATAGCGACGTCTGGAGCATTCAAACTGTTAAATATAGTACTTAAGACAGTTGCTTTTTGTGATCCTTACCTCATGCACATCTACGAGTTTATAAAGTTGCTGCACCAATTTGCTGACTGATTCATCTGTTGCAGGAACAACTGTTGTAATGCGTGAAATGCCCTCTGTTTCAGCATGTCCTACAGCCAAGCTCTGAACCAAAAGAAAGATCAGTAAAAACCCTATGTGTGTGTGAGAGATAAGGACAATGCCTGAATGTTGTATCCCCTTCGAGCGAAAACACCAGTAACAATATTAAGGACTCCTGGAGCATCGTTTACAAGCAAAGATAGAGTATGTGACCGTAGTCCACTCGTCTGAAAGATCAGAAAATAAGAAACTCTTATTATCAATGAAACAAAACAACCTTAAGGCAGTATCTATAAGATCTACATATATCTAATCTAGCAATAAACTCACTTACATCTTCGTCAGTGAGAAGTCCCCAGTGAGCGTCAAGAACACGATGTACCATTAGGTCAGAAGCTGACTCAACAGGATAAACATCTCCCTACATTTAATAGCAAATTTGTGAAGATATTTAATTTAGCTAGAGGTCAGAAAACAAAAAGGGTATTGAACTGCATGCATCAAGAATTTTCTTCTTTGAGAGAAGAGAAGCACAAACCCCTGTTGTTTTTTCAGTTGGAGAGACCACAGCTCCTTTTTTGCTACCTCGTAGAACACTAACAGGCGCATGTTCCTTGAGATCTGGATAGGACGCTGCTGAAAATCGCCAAAATGGAGCAGTAGCACCCATCTTTTCCCTTCTCAGTGCTATCTGTTATTAAGAAACCATCATTCCATATTCCTCAAATTAGTGAAAGTCCACGAGATCTATGTCTTTATGTCCACTGAAAGATATAACTATTATATAAATCCATTAGAAAGCTCAAAACGAACGATAATATGACATTACAACCTTTCCTGTCCTGACAATCTCTCTGATCTGAAACTTTCTCAAATTTCTTTCTACAGCAATCATTTTCCCTGGATCTCCAGTTACCTGCAAATAACTTACAAAATGAATAATAAAACTAAAATATGTAAAAATAGAGAAACCAATGTTCTTATCCCACTTCTTCAGAATCAAGGTAAAAAGAACAATATGTGTATGATCCTGATGCTGTAACTATCATACACAACACCGAGGACTAGCAAATAAATCAGGAAAGACAATAGAATTTAGAAGACTGGCATAGTATGCTCGAGTGTAGCAACTTGTTCAAGAACTTTCTCGTTATATTAAGTTAGTGGACAGTCAAATATGTTGAAAGAGATACACCATCTGTTTCGAATAAACCCTTAACACACAACATAATTGAATCTTTGCCTCGGAAGGGAAGTCAGCATGTGAATCCTCATCAGTTCAAATACAACCGTTAGATAAACATTTCAAATGATAACTAAACAAAAAAAAAAAAGTTATGTATTCATAACCCATAGGCCATAGTGTAAAAACAATGAAGTGAGAACATGACAAAGTATAAGCAGATGTACCTCAATAGTCAATGCATGTTCCGCAATATCTACAATTCTGGCTCGGAATGTGTCAACTAGCCACATGATCTGTAAATCCATTCAACAGAGGATATAAACTCCACCTCTATGCTGAATCAAAAGCAACCACCGAGTACAACTGTAACTTGTCATAGGCAAGGAAAAGTACCTGTGCCCTGGATTCTGGATGTGCATTCACTTTAACAAGCATCAACTCACGCTCCACTTGCGGCTCACTCGAGATATCTTCAACCTAATTATCAATTCAAAGAGTCAAAATTCAATTAAGCAAACTAAAAAAAGGAATTCACAAATGTAATCTTCAACACAAATCGAAACTTCACATAGTCCTGAGAAGTCCAATGAATTTATAAAGCAGTAAAAAGCAATTATATAGTTATAACGTAGAAAAAAGGTCACAACCTTTAGAACATTAACAAGCTTCTGAAGCTGCTCAATGACTTGCTGAAGTACCCTTTCAGTTCCAGAGACAACAATAGTGAACAAAGCCTTGTCTCTGTTGAGACCAACAGCAAGACTCTCGATATTATAACCTCTCCTGGCAAAGACTCCTGCAATCCTATTAATCATCCCGCTTTCGTCTCCAACAAACACTGAAATCGTGTGCTTCCTCACCCTGTACAAGCAAGATATCATGTTACAGTCATATCTAATGATCAATAAACACATATAAAGATACAAACTTTACAATCATAACCAACGAAACAGATAAAGATGTGAACTTTTAAAAACATTGTTGTTCACTATACTTTGATTCTGGAGTTGCCGAAGGAGCAACCGAGATCCTCTTGTCCAAGCTTCTAATGATTCTTCTCTCGGTTCTGTTTCTTGTTTCGTTGTCACGGTTTGGAGATAAACCGGAGAGGTGAGAAATCTTCGCTGGGAACGAAACACGAGTCAAGGGTATGAGAGATGGGGAAGAATCGGAGGATGTTGATCTCATGCAGCGAAGGGATGGGGAAGTGCTTGCGGAAATGGCCGCCATTGAAGAGACAAGGTCGAAAGTTTGATGGTGAGGGTTGAAGAAGGAATGAATGCAGGTGAAAGTACCGAGACCACTCTCAAATCCTCAACGCTAAACTTGATAAGAGGTTTTGTGCATTGGATCTTGCCATTTGGTTTTTGGTTAGGTACTGGTTCGGTTTCGTTGGTGTTTAAGTTTTGGATATAGAAATAGAATAGTGGTTAGAATATTTGTCAAAATTGAAATTCAGTTCAATTTCAGTTTGGTTCTAATAAAAATATTCTAATTTTTTTTTCTTTTTGTCAATTGAACATATCTAATTATTAGAATTTTTTAAATTTGATTCAAAAATTTTAAGATAATTCAAACAAAAGTAACACATAATTTAGATTGTTAGTTTACAATATTGGATAACTAAAATAATTTGATATAGTTTAGATAAAATTTAGGTAATTTGGTTACTTTAAATATTTTTTTAATGTAATTCAAAAATCAATATAATTTTTATGTTTATGTATTTTTAAACATCGTATTTCAAATGTTCAGATGACTATTCGAATTTCAATCAGTTCTTGTTTTTCGAAAATAAAAAATAAGAAAGGTTAGTTGTGATCCGACCCTGTTCCGATTCAGTTTCGGTTTGGTTCGGTTCTTTGGGTTTTCAATAACACACCTGGTCTGTCTAAATGTGGATAATACATCTGGTCTGTCTAAATGTGGGTCATACCCAAACGTGAAAACGGCTTAAACAAAGCACAAAAGTCCCTCGACTGGATCACGCCGCCACGTCAGCCTTACTCACACTATCTCTCAACTAAAATAATCACCCAGGCAGGGGTTTAGGGCACCCCCATCAATGAACTGATGGGGAGAGGTTCACAAGAATAGAAAATTAATTTATTTTTTTTTTCGGTTGTTTTTTTTTTTTTTTTTAAAACAATTATTAATGTACCAATCACGGGCTGCCACGTGTCTGTGGAGCCCGTGAATAGTGTTGATACGGGTTCAGTGGGGTGAACTTATGTGACACGGGTTCATGAGCAGAAGATTAATATATTAGTTTTTTTTTTGGGATTTGTGTGACCCCCTCCTTACAACTCTTAGTTTCATCATTACAAGAAGTTAAGGGACAAATTCATAATTTCAGAAGATAAAATAAATATAGCAACCGAAAAATAAGTGGAGGACAATCAACAACAGTCCAACTTTACGCGGGAGTTGCCAAACAATGATTGGAACAACCAAAAGTCAAACCAACGTCCGATAATATCAATTAAATCAATTAACTAATCTCCCTCGATAATCCAACGCGCTTCCTCTGGATCTCACATAATCCTCACACCTCAACCAAAAATAATGTGATTTTGATATTTTTCTCTTTTCCCTATTCTAACAGATTTTCAAAAAATCCTAAAGATGGCGAACATCGCCGTGACCCTAAAACGCGGAATCTCACGACAATTCTCCTCAGCATCTCTCCGCCGCACGCTAAGCCGCCAGTTCACGCGCCAATCATCCCACGATCCTCGCCGCAACAACATGCGGTTCAGCTTCGGCAGACAGTCCTCCCTCGATCCGATTCGCAGGAGCACGGAAGGAGGCTCTAACCATCAGCTCGCGGTGCCTGATAACCTCGACGCCACGATGCAGCTTCTGTTCGTGGCCTGTGGGGGAGATGTTGAAGGTGTGAAGGATCTGCTTGAGGAAGGGATTGATGTGAATAGTATTGATCTTGATGGGCGCACGGCTCTTCATATAGCTGCTTGTGAAGGTCATGTTGAGGTTGTTAAGCTTTTGTTGACTAGGAAGGCTAATATTGATGCTCGTGATCGTTGGGGAAGCACGGTAATGTGATAGGTTGTTTTTGTAATTTGTTGGATTAATGTTTATTGATTTGAAGTTTTGGGGGTTGTTGATGTGTGGATTAGGCAGCTGCGGATGCGAAGTATTATGGGAACATGGATGTTTACAATATTTTGAAAGCCCGTGGTGCCAAAGTTCCGGTATGCTTCTTGTTTTTATGGATCGAGTTCCCTTTCATGCATGGTCATAGCAATAGCAAAGATGAGATATTCGTATTGCAATCCAAAATTTAAATAGTTAATATGTATATATGTATGGATCATTTGGCCTCTAAATTGATTATAAATATATATGTATTGATCATTTAGCCTCTACTCCGTTTTGTTTCTACTAAGAATGTGCATTTCGGATTTGGTTTGGTTTGGATTATTTATGGGATAGTTTGGATAATAGAATTTATAATCCATTTAAGAAACGAGAAACTTTTTAATTTGGATCGGTTTGATTAATCTGCGGTTCGGGTAATAAACCAACCAGCTAATACTCAGGAAAATTCAAATTTAGACTAGTTCCAGTTTGGTTAGTTTTTGGGTATTTCAGGTAACATATCCGCTAATTCGGATGGTTCGAATAAAAATATATGATTATTCAAATGATTTCAGATATTTCAGATAAAGATTGAGATGTTTGTTTTGTGTAATTTTGGATAATTTAGTCTTTTCAAATCCTTTAAAAATTGAGTAGGTTTATAAATTATATTATAGCAATTTGGTTATTTTATATTTAAATAGAATACAATATAAAAACCATTAGGATATTTGGAGGTTACAGTCCAGTTGCGGTTTTGTTCTTTCTGTTTTTTTGGTTTGGTTCAGCTTGTTGAATCTCGGGTAAAATGTCAAAGCCTAGTTTCAAGTCTCATGAATCTCAAGATGGACCTTTCTTTTTCATATATCTCAATGCATTTAGTTACTTTTTTTTCTTTGGTTTTAGAAAACCAAAAGGACACCGATGGTTGTTGGGAATCCTCGTGAAGTTCCTGAATATGAGTTGAATCCACAAGAACTTCAGGTTCGGAAAGCTGATGGTATCTCAAAGGTAAGGACTCTTTTTGCTTCACTTTCTCGTGGATGATGTTTTTAGTTTTCCAGTTAATGTGGTTGTAACAAATACTATACTCTTACCAGGGAATATATCAAGTGGCTAAGTGGAATGGGACTAAGGTAGCTGTCAAGATACTTGATAAGGATCTCTACAAGGATAATGAAACCATGTACGTGTGTTACTCTTCTCTTTGATGAGTATCTGTCTAAGTTAACACATAGGTCCAGGAGTGATTTTGAGTTCCTTATTACGTTAAGCTATTGACAGTTGAAAGGATTTTTTATGCTCTTTGTGATGATGATATGTATGAGCTGTAAGATACTAGAATCATATTTCAGGTAGTCTTTGGAATTGAGCATTTTCTAATTTCCTAAATTGTTATAGTCCCTGTTTGTCTTAATGTATTATGTGTGTTCTGAAACTGTTATATTACGTACCCACAGAGAAGCCTTCAAACACGAACTTACTTTGTTAGAAAAGGTTCGTCATCCTAATGTTGTGCAATTTGTTGGAGCTGTAACTCAAAATGTCCCCATGATGATTGTGTCTGAGTATCATCCTAAAGTAAGCATCTCCCTCTACTTACACCTTACAAGATTTGTCACTCACGAAGCATTTTTTTGGATTCCAGGAAATAATTTCTTTTTGACTTGGGGGTAACTTGCAGGGTGACCTTGGGACTTATCTTCAAAAGAAAGGACGCCTTTCTCCATCCAAAGTTCTAAGATTTGCCCTCGATATAGCCAGGCATGTGCCCCTTTTTTGAAATATTATATCCAAATTACAACTACTTTTTATATATCTTCTGAACAAATCATTTGGTTATTCTCAGGGGAATGAATTATCTTCACGAGTGCAAGCCAGAACTAGTAATCCACTGTGATCTAAAACCCAAGTAATATAACTAAATAAAGAAGCATCTCTATGTGAAATTTTAGAAAACATAGTTTTGGACCTCTTGTTATCTAATTTTTGCAACTTCTTGTAAGGTGCCAGAAATATTATGCTAGACAATGGAAAACATTTGAAGGTGGCGGGATTTGGATCAATAAGTTTTTCAAAGCTATCATCTGATAAATCAAGACTCCTTAATCACGGGGCTATAGATCTTTCAAGTAAGTTCCCTAATCTGCATGTGATGTACATCAAACATATGGATTTCTGAGAAACTTTGATACAACTACAAAAAAAAAACTGGTTCCATTTTTGATACTTTTAAGGATTATTGATTTCATGCCCATTTTTTTTTGCAGACTACTGTGTGGCGCCTGAGATTTACAAAAATGAAATATTTGACAGAAGTGTGGATTCATACTCTTTTGGTGTCTTATTATATGAGGTAGGTACTTTATGATTACCCTTAAATGTCATTTATTCGTGATAATACTGCTCAACTTCATTTCTTGATTGCTGTATCTGGTCTGGGTTTCATTTATATGGTCTCCAAAGTACTCCACTCTGTTTCTCAACCACTTTAAGTTAATATGTTTTCTTCTAGCATTGAGGCCACAAATAAGCTTCTCTAACAATTTCACTGAAGCAATAATTTATTGAGTTAATATTTAAATTCTACAGATGATTGAAGGACAACCCTTCCATCCTAAGCCACCAGAAGAGGCAGTGAAGCTAATGTGTTTGGAAGGAAGAAGACCTTCCTTTAAAACCAAGTCCAAAAATTGTCCCCAAGAGATGAGAGAGTAAGTTCACTTTTTTTTTTTGGTTAATAACATAAATTGATTGGTGTACAGTCACCATCATTTGCTTGGTCCTTGATCCTTTTAATTAACCTCTTTCAACGCATTATTTCACTTTTTGTATAAACAGATTGATTGAAGAGTGCTGGGATGCGAAAGCTGTTGTTAGGCCGACATTTTCTGAGATCATAGTTCGATTGGATAGGATCCTTGTACATTGCTCAAAACAAGGGTGGTGGAAAGATACATTCAAGTTTCCTTGGTAACAAAGTCTTTCTTTTAACAACTCTGTAACATATGCTTTGAGTTTTGTTTCTAAACCAAGTGGCTCATTTTTCAGGAAATAGTACAGAGGAGCAGGAGAGGTTTAGCAAAGAAGTCAGCAATTCAAGAGCTCACTTTCTCATGTTTTACAATAAAAGCGGTACAAAGAATACAAAAAGAAACGGTGCGCCTTCTCCCATTTGTCTATGTCTTGTTGTGTAAGAAAATGTATTACGTCGGAAAGTACTTCATTGAGCTATATAGACTTCTCTAATGCACAGAACTGAGCATTGCGAGATTACAATGTATCATATTCATATAAGTAGCACGAAAGCACTTCATTCTTGTTGTCTCAAAGTCGAAGGTCTTTTTTTTTGTAAGATATAGAAAGGAGTTAACTACACATAATTCATATACCAAGAGTCTGATTCTCAACCAAATATATGATTACTCAGGAAATTGTACAGAAGACCAAAAGGTCGTTATAGAAAGGATCATCTTTCAATTTCTTAAGTCAAAAGAGCAACAACCTCGTCAATGTTCTTGTCGGAAGTACCTCCTTCAGAAACAGCCTCACGAGCCAACACCTTTAACTTCTCAACATTCCTCCTCATCTCTTTCCTTTTCTCTCCTTCCATAACCTCAACAATGCATCTCGCAATCTCTTCCTTACTCACAAACCCTTCTTCATCAGCCTTCACTCTCACCCCAATCTTCCACACATCCTCTATAAACTTAGCGTTTGTAGGCTGATCCGTCCACTGAGGCATCCCAACCAATGGAACCCCTAAGCACAACGCTTCCAACGTCGAGTTCCATCCACAGTGTGTCACGAAACATCCAACAGAGTCATGTGATAAAACCTCTAGCTGAGGAACCCACTTAGCCACCAATCCACAGTCTTTCTCCAAAGCCTCTTCCACAAAACCAGACGGTAACTTGCTTCTCTCCGAATCTCGGACAGACCACAAGAAGTTGTATCCGGTTTGTTTAATAGCCATTGCGGTTTCCTTCATCTGATTCTCACTCAAAGCCGCCAGTGTCCCAAACGCCACGTAAACCACCGACTTCGCTGGCTTACTCGCTAGCCACCTCAAAACAGACTCATCCGGTTCAGTCTTGAAATCTCCAAGGTCGTAATCTTTGTCTTCTGGCAACCGGTTATCCAAGAACTTGGAGGGAACCACCGGTCCAATGTTCTTCACCGGCCACTGATCACCCATCCATTTCACTACCTAGAAAACACATTCCACTAATAATATTAATGAAACTAGCCTTCTGAAAAACCAGAGCCTGTCCTGAGCATAACAAGTTGAAACATTCGCTAATGGTTCCAAAATATTAGTGGTTAATATACAAATATTATTCAGCCCTCAAATTGATTAGTGGTTAATTGAATTCTCCCGACTTAGTTTCTACCAAATAATAATATAAATTTATAATGAATTAACTAATCATAAATAATGCAGTAAAATATCATTGGTCAATTAATTTTTAATAAAGTTAAAATACCTTGAAACTATCAAAACATTTTATATTTTGGAATATCAAAACTTCTCTTAAACATCTTATATTATAGAAAGGAGGGAGTATGTAATATTATTGGGCCCTCAAATTGATTATGTTAAATATATGTATTGATCGATCATATAGTAATTGCTTTTTCCACGGATCTCAGGCTACTCAAAAAGATGAAACCAAAACATTTAGATGTTCACCTTAGGTTCAAGTTGATCAAAAGTGTTGCAGAGAATCAAATCAGCTCGGCGTAGGTTAGAGAACTGGCTAAGCAAAAGTTCGAATAAATGAGGGTAAGACCCCTTCTCGCGTGCGAAAGAAGGCAGATCATTTTGGCTTAACAATGGGAAGGCTGGAAACGATGCAAGCGTTGGGTTCTCGTGTCTATCATCGGGGACATCGTAGGTACCATGGTTGATGTGGTAGTAAACAAGACTAGCCAGCCATGGTTGAGTGAAATAGGCTACTACGTATAGACCAAAATCCTTGGCTACTTCCAGTGCAAAAGGCATGAAGGGATCATAGATCAGAGCTTTTGGAGGATTGCTCGTTAACTTCTCCCTGCACACATACATATATATATTACATGACCATGACACTGGTGCTAAATAATATTTTCATATCATATTCACAATAAAACGTTGGCTAGTTCTTTAGCTTATTAAAATGAAAGCTCTGTTCTTATGGTTTTTTACATCCTTCTTTCTTATTCTTTGAACGGTTTAGCTTTCCACTTAAAAAAAAAAGTAAAATAAACTTTACACGTTCAAAAAACTAATACCTAGAGATGAAGTCGGTGAGGCTGCGAGTAGTAGAGTTAATGAAACGTTGAGGTTCGTTGAACTTGGTTTGAGGGTGTTCATGTGACAGGAAACCATCGTGGATTGTATGGACGGTGATGGAATAGTCGTCGGAAGTGTAAGGTTCACGGTGGTTGTTGGAGGCGATGATGAGCGTGACGGTGAGTCCCTTTTTGGATAACCGTTTAGAGATTTGGATCATTGGGTTGATGTGCCCTTGAAATGGATAAGGAAACACCAGCACATGACCGCTTACTTCACTCATTTTTTGTTTGGTTTCGTTGTGAGCCAAAGAAACAATAAGTGGGTGGATACGGTCTAATTCAACTAGACATCCGATATATCTATATGTATATTTACATTGTTGGGATTGTGTTGTTATATATTAGACATTTACACTTGACTACTATGTAGTAGAATGACTTACTAATAAAATTGCTAAATGATTTAAATGACAGTTTGAATATGCTAAAACCAATTTGAGTGAACTAATGATAATTTCATATTTTATATATTTAAAATATTCAGAATCTACAAAAAAATCATACAAGTATGTGACTAAATATGTTTGTAATTTATAGTTTAACACATTTGTAATGTGTAGTAATATTACTCTAAAACGTAAAAAAATGAGTTTTGTGGAAATATTATATGTGTGGAATTGGGAGAAAGATGAAGCCATGAAGGTCCAGTGATATATCGTACTCTTTTTGTGTGGAGCATGGTTTTCATGTCATTATTATTATTATCAACTAACTAGTCGGACCAGTTATTAAAAGCAGAAATAAAAATAAATAACATTCAAAAGAAATGAACTTGTAAGAAAAGGTAACATTCAAAATCATAACTAAAAAAATAAAATAAACTAACATTCAAAATCTGTAAGACAAGGTCAAATTAAAAGAAATGAACTTGTACCTAGGAGATGAAATCGGTGAGGCTACGAGTGGTGGAGACGTTGAAACGTAGAGGATCTTTGATCTTGGTGAGAGGGTGTTCGTGTGGAAGGAAACCGTCGTGGATGGTGTGGACGGTGATGGTGTAAGGTTCACGGTGGGTGTTGGAGGCAATGAGGAATGAGACGGTGAGTCCTTTTTTGGATATGAGTTTGGCCAGTTACATCATTGGCTTAATGTGTCCTTCAGTCGTAATGGATATGGAAAAAATAGTAAGTGGCCGTTTGCTTCACCCATTTCTTCTTTCTTTTTTCAACTTGGTACATGATCTCATTATATATTTTGAAGTAATGCTTCATTTTACTAATGTTTTTTTTTTTTTGTCAAACTACAAATGTTTTTTCTGTTTAATAAGTTTTTAAACAATGTGAGAGTATCTACTTTTCTTAAAGATTTCGATTGTTTTCTTTTAGATGTATTGGGTTAAATTCAATTCGGTGTGATGTTTTCAAATCAATATTCGGGTCTGATGATGACAAAATTTTGATGGTAAAAGAAGATTTATTAAGCACTTAATAAAAACATGGAAGGAAATTGTGACAACACGGATCCAGGTTTATTTTATAGGCCACCAACCCTAACCTCCACTAGTGAGCCTCTAAGTTTTCTTTTAGGTAGGTTATTGGTGTGTTCGGCGTTCTTCAACCCATAATTATTATATTACTTAAATTTGAGGTGGTCTGAGAAAACAAACCGGAATTAAAACAACTAACAATTCAAAGATCTCTATTACAAGATTTTGCAGTTCTAGCTAGATATCAGGAACAACATTCAATACAAATAATAAGCCAAGGTTAATATTATGATATTTCTGTACAACAAATATATGATGTATGTTTTAAAATTAAAACAAACACCAACACTGATGTGCGGGTTAAAATCTTGTACTCCATTAAAGCTAGATGAATGAAACAACTAATCCACCATAATGTGGTTCACACCGTTGAAAGAAGAAAACAACTACTCTTGGTCTAGAAAATGTTTGCAAGAAACGACATTGGTTTTGATTCAATCAAAATTGATTGAGCAGAGGCAAAGATGAGCCAATAATTAAGGTGTATAAATAAAGTAAACAATGTCACAAACTCAACGGTGCTTGGCACAAAAAATAACAGAAAACTGAAGCTGATAAATCTCAGTTACAACTTGTATCTTCCTCAGACTATTTATCACAAATTTTATCATATGGCTCATTGTTTTCTACATCAGCAAGGCCATTCTCCAAAGCTTTCACCAGATTTTCGAAGTAGGTTTTGGTTACTTTAGTTAGACCAGTCAATTTCCTGCGGTAATCATCAAAATCTTTAGCCGGGTCTTCAGTTTCGCTGACAAAATGTTTAAACTCGATCTCTGCACAATTATGAAGCCTCTCCAAACCATTTTGAGCATCCGCTTGCAAATACTCGAAAAGTTGTTTCTTGGCAAGTTCATGTTGAGGAAGGTAGTATCCATATGCAAATGTCCATTTCAAGACCCTCCTACACTCGATGATCTGCAATGAAAAAATGAATCATGTAAAGACCTTAACAAAAGTCTCACTTATGGTCTCATTTACTAACTCCCAAATGAGAATGATTACAAGCTTTTCAGTTTTACTAATCACACTATTAAAAGAAATCACGCTTTCTATTCATCGTTTTACAAGACTTATCATGGAAAATATAATTATGAAACCGTGGTTATAGTCTAGTTTTCAGTTAACCATTCCCATTATATTATTCCATTCTGCATAAAGATAAAGGAAAACAAATATACAATTTCTACAACAAGTTATAAACTAGTATTAGTTATTTAATTGTATACATCTACTAACCTGAAGCCATGCATCTACAATGAATTGAAGCTGAGTTTCTGGTGTGCCCTGTTTGTCACTAAGCAGCTTAAGTTGCACCGATTGCAACTTCTCCAAGTCACTCTTAGCCATTAACCTTGACGATTGATTGCTTGCCCATCTTTCATAATAATGCATGTATCTATCCAAGGCAGCTTTGGCCATTTCTCTCTTATTATCATCCTCATCAACACCCTTAAACTTGTTGCAATCCCCAGGACATGGATATGCACGAAGACAAATCCAACAAAACTGAAATGAACAAGGCGCTGAGCATGTCATATGGTTGCACCCCTGGTTCTTCTCGATCTGACGTTTGCATTTGGGACAAGGCTTTGTATTCTCAAGTATCCAAGCCGTGTTCTTGGATTCAACATTGTTCTTTAATATCCATTTGGCCACCGTATCACAATCCACAGGACGGTGAGCATCTTCACTACAATTCCAACAAAAGTCATAAGAACACAAACAAGAAACATCATAGTTTTCACTTCCTCTTCCAAAATCAACAGCGTATTCGCATCCTGGTGATGGACACCATTTTATTTTCTTTTTGCTGGATTCGACATAAGACCTAAGAGAATATCTATAATACTTCTCCCTATCCGCGTCATTAGATATGAACTTATCGATCATATCTTGACTAACCACGGCAGAACAAGAAGTGTCCGGACATTTAAAAATCAAACAACCCGGACCAGCGTTGATTTTCGAAGTGATGTAACCGGTCCAACAAGTCTTGCAATAAGGATGACCACAAGAAACCGTTGCAATGTCCTTTTGAAGATATGACTCAAAGCAAATTCCACATTGAATATTCATGACTTCTTTGTGGTTGTGATCAACGACAGGCTCCTTCAATAAACCGACGCTTTTACGGACTTTTTCTTCATCGGTAAACCATTCATCTTGGACTTTACTAGCACTCCACTGATAGTGAAGAAGGAGAGCGATCGCTTCAACTTGGCTTATAGAGAGAACCGTAGAAACTTGTTCGATATCGGTCATTTGATTCTTTCGAATGTCTTCTTCGTTCAGAACAACGTAACTTAGCTGAGATGTGGAATCCTTGTTGTCCATGTCTTCCTCGGCGAATCCAGGATCACCTTTGTCCGTGTAGTCACCGGATAAATTATCTTCACCTGATTCAGTATCGAGCATGCCATCATCATCCGAGTAATCCATGATCGATCAAGAGACAATAGCCGCTAAAAAGATTTTAAGATTTATAGGAACCAGAGACAACTACAACCCTAATCTTCTGTCTCGTGATTAGGGTTTTACTCTTTAAGAACTTTTCTTTTGGATTTAAGCACAAAAAAAAATAAAAAAAACTTTTCTTTTGTGGGGGCTTACGAGGTTTTAGAAGATTACGTATCCACGTCATATATATATATTTACCCAATGAGTTTTCAACACGCGTGGGACGCCTTAAGTTTTAAGTAATGACTGAAAAAAGAAAACTCAGGAACTGAAACGTTTACAAGAAGAAAGAAACTGATATAGATTATTTATTAACCTCAAAAAGTAATAATTGCCAGTTGTTGAATTAGACTTAGCTTATAGCAAATTGATATAGACAATATTAATTTTTGGGAAAAGTAAAAGGACTATATATTGTGGACTTTATCTGAGTGAATTAGTTTAAAAAGGATATCCCCTATATATTAATTGAGAAACATTTGAAAAGATGTAACCTAAAGTTTGTATTAATTAAAAAGTAACCTTGCTTAGTTGTCAATCAATTAGCATATCAATTAAACTGACGTGGCGGCTTTAGGTTCAATTGAAATTTGCTAGGGAAAAATAATTAGAGACGCATATAACGCATGTAACATAGTTTATATATTTATATATATCGCACGCATGTAATGGAAGAAAAGGAAAATATACGATTTG